TTAATAACGCTGTGCCTAAATGACCCAGTGCCTAAAAAGGATGTGCTAAAAGTATTGTGATTAAATGACAGTGAACCGATATATCACATAGTTTGTTAGCATATCTGTTATAAATTCATTTTTAAGATGCCATCTCTTATTAAATATCTGATGTATATTAGTAGGGATACAGGCTGAATTAGATCAGTTGACTTATATTACACAGCATGAAACTCTTGAGTAAAACGTGTTCCAGGTTCTGGTATAATACTTGTATTGTATTAATGATAGAGAGCACTATTTTAACAGTGGTATATCAAACAGTGAAAATATTTATATGCCTATATATTACAAGGAGTGGGATAATTGTTAACATTATGCGCAAATGTGATTTTTTTGACGGTTTTTTTTTTGTTAGTTAGAATACAATGGAAAATGAAAAATATCAGAGAACAAATTGTAATCCAAGATATTTTTTTTAATTCAGCAATTTTACATTGAACGTAGTTACAGATAGTGGAATAAATTAGTTCAAACTTGTACATATTTGAAATACTCCTCAGAAGGAAAAGCCTTTCTGATACTGGTGACAACACAATTCAGTCTGAAGAATTTATGGTTTTAATAAACTTGCAATGGAACACATATGTAAAAAAAAGTAGCCAAATCTATACTAAATGAAAGGGCTTTTAACGGAGAACGAACCCTGCCAAGCCCAGAATATAATTAAATTTCGGGGAAGGGAGGGTTTGATTCTCCCAAATGTACAGGCCTAGGGTGGAGCAGACACTTTATTTAGAAATTAGGATTAAGGGTCTTGATATTGGGTTTTCTTCTGTTCTTATTCTGATCTGAAATTAGAAAAAATAACTCGCCCGATGGGCGAGAAGTATAGTGTCTGTTATGTACTGATTGTTTTTAGTTTACTATGAACAATATTATCATTTAAGTTCTTATTTTTTGAATATGCAACTATCATTTTCTGCTTATAGACATGGGGGAATTTCTCTTGAAGGCTCTTATAGTGGGCATGAACTATCTTGCTTGCTCGATTGCTGGTTGTATTAAACGGGACAACAAAGGGTGCTATGCCTACATTATGATGAATATTTAGTCCTATAGGTCTTGCTGTATTCAATGTCTCAATCCAATGGGCCTCCCTAGATTGACGGAATTTGGTAGTTTCATCTTCGGGCAAGTCAATTTCTATACGCTCAAATGGGATTAGGGTGAGATCGTCTATTGAATGGTCGTCGAGGTTGAAATGATTAGAAACAGGCTTGTCTTTCTTTAATTTGATGTCTGACCTATGAGCATTAAAGCGAGTTCGTAAATTATTCTTAGTTTCTCCTACATATTGTTTGGGGCATTTCTTGCATGAAATTAAATATATTACATTCGAATGTTCACATGTTAGATGTTCCTGGATCGGGTACCTTTTATTCGTAGAGTTGCTTACAAAATAATGAGTTTCTGATATAAAGGGACATGTTTTGCATCTACTGGACAAACATGGAGCACTTCTTAAACCTGGAGGTACTTCGGCATAAAGTCTGTTTTTAGCTGCTATCTGTGCTAAGGTGGAATTTTTTATGTTTCGTAAAAATCGTTTAGAGTACCCACGCTCTTTCAGTTTTGAGAAAACAATCGTACAGGCTTGGTTGAAATCAGAAGATCTTGTACAAATTCGATGAAATCGTAAAACTTGTGACTTAATTATACCAGAAAAGGTATGTTTTGGGTGAAAGGAGCTCTTGTGCAAGAGTTGATGAGTATCAGTTTCTTTGAAATACACTTTAATATCCAGTTTATTTGTTTCTGCTATGGAATCTCCCTTAAAGACTGTGGTATCTAGAAAGTCTATGCGTTTGTCACTCACGTTTGCGGTTAGTTTGATAGAAGGATGGTGGTTGTTGAGAATTTCAAAGAATTCCCAAAACTGTTCGATAGAATAAGTCCAAACCATAAAAATGTCATCCAAAAAGCGTCCGTAAAAAAGTGGGTCAAATGGACAGAGGGGCAACACCTCACGTTCCCACTCTGCCATGAAAAGGTTTGCGTACGAAGGGGCGAATCGTTTGCCCATTGCTGTCCCTGAAGTTTGTAAATATGTTTTACCATTAAATGTGAAATCGTTTCGACTAAGACAAATCTCTAAAAGCTGTAGAATTGCATCGTCGGGTCTGTTTGGATCTGGGTTTCTATTAAAAACTTTACGAACTGCCGTTAAACCAGTAGTGTTATCGATATTGGTATACATAGAAGAAACGTCGATAGAAATTAAAATAGCATTAGAGGGAACTCGAAGATTTTTTATTTTATTGACAAAATCGGTTGTGTCTTTCAGGTAGGCGCGATGTTGGCATGCTAGAGGTAGTAAGAAATGATCAATGTATTCTGACACTGCATATGACTCACTACCACAGTCAGATATAATCGGGCGGCCTTTAGGGATTTTATTCGATTTAAACCACTCCTTGGTTGGATTCTTATGGATTTTAGGCAAAGTGTACAAATGTCTCTCGCGACAATCAGGTTTGGCAGACAGATAGTCATATTGTTTCTGTTTGAGATAACTAGTTTTGACTAAATCGGCAAGAATATTATTAATCATGTTAGCAGTTTCTTTGAAAATTGGTTTCGGTAAAATGGCATAATGTTTAGGATTATTCAGTTGATTCTCTGCTTCTGAAACGTAATCCTCCCTATTCAGAATGACATTCCACTCGTGTGAGATTAGGCTTTTCGTGTGTTATGGAAAGGTTCACTGTTTGACTATTCATACTAGCAAATGCTTTCAATATTTCAGAATGGATGGCGGCCTGAGGGGGTGTCCACGTGGATTTAGGAATAAACATTGTTCTAGCACCACGTGGGGGGGTGGTTTCGAAAAAAATATGTGCAGCTAAGATTTCGTTGAAATCGTTCAATGGATGGTCGGAGATAATTCAAGTTAGCTATCTTTGGTGTGGAAATAAACTTTTAAGTCCACGGTCTAAGATTGAATGCTGAAGGGGTGTGAGAATTTTGCGGCTCAAGTTAACTACAGTTTGGCCTAGCGGTGGCCTCTCAGTATTTTTATCCCCAGTAATTAGTTTAAAGACTTACTCGATGCTTGAAGCTGGTGTATCCAAAACAAATAAATGCTGTTTGCTGTTTCTGGAGACCAATGAAGATTATCAACTGTTTCGAATTCTTCTTCGTAGGGTGGTAAGATTGTTGCGCTGTTGATACTGGACTCCATCATCATGTTGTTGAGGGTGCTGAGGTTCTGTTGTGCTTTCTTCGAGATTTTATTTGAAATGGGTATACATGTGAAGAGGATCTTGGAGTTTGGGAAGCTTCT